CTGGCACTTGCCTCGACATGTTGCTGGCACACCAAAACTCTGCCTAGTAACACTAAAGCCACTTGCACTCGGTTCATCAACATTGCTTGTATCTGAGCCTATATCATTACACGCAGAAATCACAATTGCGTGATGCATCAAATGAACAAATCCACAAGGGCCATGACGAGGATTCGAACCTACGCCCAAGAGCATCCCAGACGCTGCCTTAATCGACTGAGCTATGACATGGTATAAGAATTGCAACCAGAATTTCTATTGAATTTACTTGGATCCTGCAGCCTCTCCGAGATACAAACCAGGATTTTACACAATTTCCTCATGCACTCGAGCTATGTCAATAGGCCATTCTACCTCTTCGCCCTTACTTCATTACACGCAGAAATCACAATTGCGTGATGCATCAAATGAACAAATCCACAAGGGCCGTGACAAGGATTCAAACCTACGTCCGAGAGCATCACTCCCGGCTCCCGGCTTGCGTGTCGGCAGATGGTGCTTACCTCCTCTGTGGAATCCGCTTGGGCCTTGGCTCTTAGGCTGTTGTCCCATTTTTGCCCTCTCTTATTTGAGGCTTCAGCCATTGTACAGTTTATTCAGGCTGCTTCGGCTTCTTGCCGTCCTATGTCGGATTTGTTGGTTCTCCAGCGGTCCCGTGGTGGGCCTTCTCGGAAGGGTCGTACCAAGGCTCGGGGTTCTTCTTGTCATGGTAGGCCACTGGTGTCAGGTTCGGATTTGGCTCCTCCTTTGTCTGGTCGGCGCGGTGATTGATTAATGAAGATTAAGCCACCCAAAAGGTGGCACGGGCATGAATAGCCCGTAAGTGGTTGCCCTTTTGAGCCATTACCAGGATCAAGAGCTGATACTGGAGATCTGGGGAGGTGCAACTGTACCCTGCGTGACGAGAGATGTCTCCCATCGTCAGCGCGGTGTTCGCTCTGTGCAAGGTTCTGGGTTTCGTACAGGGCGCCGGCCCTTTCACGGTTCGCCCCATTGACGGGGCGATGATGGAGAGGCTTGCGCTGTTCGCTCATGCCTGGTCCCACGATTTATGGGTATTTCGGGTCGTTTCGCACAGTCTCCGGCGGCATTGGGAGGCCCCTCCTCCTGCGGGGGGCTAGGGGCTGGCGGGGCAGGCTTCTTCCCCCAGCGCTCTGTCAGGTCATCTTGGATTGGGTTCGCTTGGGCATGGTGAAAACGACGACGTCCCTCAGATGGGTTTCCCGTCTATTTCCAGTCCTGAAACGGAACTGCGTGGACCTGCGGTTCATTCTGGACTTGTCCCATCTGAACCCCTGGGTTCATTGCCCCTCCTTTTGGATGACCACGCTGTCCCAGGTTTGGCTCCTGTTGGACCCGGGCGCTTGGATGGTGTCCCTGGACATCCAGGATGCTTATTGACACGTCCTGATTCATCCGGGGTTCAGGGACTGGCTCGGTTTTGTTGTGGGGCTTCGTGCTTACCGCTTTCGTTGTCCTCCGTTCGGTTTGAACCCGGCACTTTGCGTTTTCACTCGCCTCACGCAGGTCGTGGTGACCCGTCTGCGTCTATTAGGTGTTTGGGTGTTGGCCTACCTCGACGTCTGGCTGGTTTGGGCTCCCAGCCAGCCCGCTTGTCTGCTAGCCAGGGATTTGGTTCTTTCTCAGCTCGCCGGGTTCGGGTTCTTGGTGAACTGGAGGAAGTCCCATCTGGTTCCCTCTCAGGTTCGGACCTGGCTGGGCCTTGTGTGTGACTCTCGGACCGCTTCGTTGTCTCTTCCTCTGGAGTCTCTTCTGCGGCTGCGGTCCCGCTTGTGCCTGTTTCTGGGGGGCTCCCGGGTCACCCAGCGGTTGCTCGAGGGTCTGTGCGGGAGCCTGAACTTCGCAATGCTGGTCTACCCGCCGGGTTGGGTTTGGCTTCGTCGGCTGTTCTGGTTCCTTCGGGGACGTCCCTTCCACCTCTCTCGCATTCGCTGGGTTCGGACCCCGGGGGCTTTGTGTCGGTTGCTGCGTCACCGGCTTCCTCTATGGATTTTTTGGGGGTTCAGTGCCTTGGCGCCTACTCGAACCCTTGCTCGATGTGTTCACGGACGCATCACCTCTCGGATGATGTTTAGTGACCAGTGCTCACCAGGCCGGCCAGGGTCGGTGGGGGTCCGTTCTTCGGTCAAGCCCACAGCACTGTGCTGGAGTTCGCGGCGGTGTGGTTTGCTCTGCGGAGGATTCGAGTTGCCCGTGGGTCGACGATCTGGCTCCATTCACACTGCTCCCCAGTTGTTCATTGTCTGAACTGGGGGGGGGGTTAAATGCGGTCCTTGGCTCTTTGGCGCTGTTTGCTTCGGGTGAATTGTCTGCTGAGTTCTCGGGGTTTGGCAGTTCACGTGCGGAGTGTGTCCAACGTCTTGGCTGACTGCCTGTCTCGTTTCATACCCCTCTCCTCGGAATGGATGGTCGACGCCGACTCCTTCCGTTGGCTTTGGCAGATGTTCGGACGCCCCTAGGTGGACCTCTTCGCGACGGCGTGGTCGCGGCGCCTTCCCCTGTATGTGGCGCCCTTTCCCAACTGCGAGGCCGTCAGGGTCGACGCCTTTCGGCAGGACTGGTCGAGGTGGGGGTTCCTGTACATCTTTTCCCTGGTTCAGCTGTTGCTCCAGGTTCTGACTCGCTTAGAGACTTACCAGGGGATAGTTGTCCTCTTGGCCCTATGGTGGCCGGCCCAGCCGTGGTTTCAGGCGCTGCTTGCTCGGTGTCCGAACCCGGAGGTTTTTCCGCGGCTCCGCCTCTTCCCACAGATCGGCCCGGTACGTCACGTGGCTGGTTCGATCTTGTCCTCGAGTTTTCACGTATGGTATTTTTTACTCTAGATTATCATCATCTCTGTGATGATCAGGTGCCTTCCTTATTAGTGTCCCACCTGCGGGCTTCATCTCGGTGGAAGTATGAAGTTTCCTGGCGGTCCTTCCAGTTATTCTTACGTCTTCGTCGTTGTACCTTGCTTTCTGTTAGGGTGGTGTGGTCCTTTCTCTCTTGGTTGTTCCAGGACCGTCTTCCTGGAAGGTGGATCCTTCGGTTCTGGATTGTTTTTTGAAGGCTCTTTTTTCCTGTTGACATTGGCCTCTGGGGGTCGGGTGGGTGAGCTTCATGCTCTCCTCCGGCGCAGAGGTTTCTGCTCCTTCGGTCGGGGTGATCGTTTTGTTCGTCTGCAGCCTTCTCCTTCTTTTCTGGCGAAGACTGAGACTGCTGCATTCTGGAGGGGCCCTTGGGTTGTTGATGCTTGGGTGGTTCGGCCGGGGGTGCATCATGTTTTGTGTCCGGTTGCAGCTCTCCGCTGTTATTTGCGTGCCACGGCTTCTGTGTCCATGGATGCGCTTTGGATTGATCCAGTTTCCCTTCTTCCCTGTTCGAGGGTGTAGGTCTCCCAGGTCGTCTGCAAGGTTATTAAGGCTACCCAGCCTGTGGTTTATCCTCGTGCCCATGACGTCTGCAAGTTCACGACTCTTGCTGCTATCTTTGGCAATATGTCCTGGGTTGACATTCGGGCACGGGGATTTTGTCGGTTGAACAGGGTTCTGGCTGCTCATTACCTTGTAAACGTTCCTGGGCCTGGTCGGGCCTTTGTCGCTGTGGGTCGGCAGATGCAGCAAGTTGTCTCGACTTCGGGTTGAGGAGTGAGCAGCAACTGCCTCCCGAGTAAGTCCCTGTTCTTTCCACTGTGGGTAGTTAGCTCCGGGAGTCATAGGGGCTCCCCTCAGAAAACCAGCGTTGAATGTGATGAAACTCCATTTTCTGGGTGAGGCCCGGAGGCTCCCCGGCATCTCTCCCTTCCTCCGGTCGGCGTTTTTTTTGTGTGTTTTTGACATCCAGCCTCAGAATTGGGGTGTGGATCGCAGGTGCGTTAGATCTGGGGCTGCCCCTTCCTCCTCCCAGGGAGGGGGGGGGGAGGGTTGCGCAGACAGCGGCGCGATGACGGATGACATCATACTAATTTGCTCGTTTTTGTTTGGGAGAGTTCTATCGACTCGTTCGGCTTTTGGTTGCAATTTTCACCAGAATAGGGGTTTGTTTTGGAACGCCTACCTCTCTGGGTGCCTAACCCTGTCGATGGCAGACATAGAATGCTTCCAATTACAAGGGGGGGGGGTTCTATAGGCCATTGCTCCCCTTGCCTCTCTAGAGGGGGCCAGGTTCTGGTTCGTGGGCCTCGGTAGGCCCATAAGAACTCCATACACTTGACTGATGCCAAAGTCTGACATTAGCATATCAGCCTAGTAAGCTCCTGGGAGCCTCCAGGACTCACCCAGAAAATGGCATTTCATTACATTCAACGCTGGTTTTTTACATTTTTAGGCGATGCTGTGGTCACAAGCTGAACAGCAGTACTGTGAGCTCATGCTGCTTGCACCAGCCTTGATGGCTCATTCAGTACTGAGGCTCTCACACCCGGGAATGTTGCCCACGATTTTTTTTTAAAGTGGCATCTGTTTACAAGAGCCCTGAGGAAGGTGAGGTGAACCCCGCGTTTCCGCGGGCTGTTTAAATCTTGCGTAGTACTCAACATATCATATAACGTGATGCACACTTTTGCTTATGTTACTCAACACATCATATGATGTGCTGTACAGTTTATGGGTTAAAGGAGGAGATTGTTGAAATCAATTCCATCCACATCTTAAAAAGAGATGTGAAGAAAACTTTAATGTTGAGAGGGATAATTAGCACAGTAGGAGTAAACAGCTAGGAGACTGGGCATAAATAACTTGTTCTTACTCACCCACTGTCACAGATAGGTAAGCACAAAACTCAAACACAACTACTGTACATCCCAACAATAATTCAGTATCCTGAGACAAACATCCTCTCTTCAGTATCATCCTGGTACAAAACTTCTGGCCTCACCACATCCTTGCTTGTATTATGAGATATGTCAGCCTTTGAATACTTTTCTCAACCATGTTTTTGCAATCAAACAATATCTAGTAATTATAATGCTCTGATCATAATATTTTAATGGTGTTCTTTAGGTATCAACAGACAGTGAACCTTCTAAAAGACACAGAGACAAAATGAAAAAAAACTTATTGCAAGAAGTCAAGAGTGAAGTAGGGATTCAGATGGAGATTTTATTTCTTGTCAGACTCCCGGTGCTGACTGACCACAATCATCCTGTTCCTAATGATGTAAGTTCTCTTGTTCATGTGTTATGTAAGTTCTCTTGTGCATGTGTTATGTAAGTTCTCTTGTGCATGTGTTATGTAAGTTCTCTTGTGCATGTGTTATGTAAGTTCTCTTGTGCATGTGTTACTCATCTAGTTGTATTTGCAGGGCTTGAGCTCTGGCTCTTTGGTCCCGCCTCTCAACTGTCAATCAACTGGTGTGCAGATTCCTGTGCCTTCTGGGCTCTATCATATCTATATTTGAAACTGTGTATGGAATCAGCCTCCACCACATCATTGCCTAATGCATTCCACCCGTTAACTACTCTGACACTGAAAAAGTTCTTTCTAACGTCCCTGTGGCTCATTTGGGTACTCAGTTTCCACCTGCGTCCCCTTGTTCATGTACCACCCGTGTTTATCACAGTTTATGTACAGTTTATCCTTATCTACCCCTGTGAATTCCTCTGAGAATTTTGTAGGTGGTGATCATGTCTCCCTTACTCTTCTGTCTTCCAGTGTCGTGAGGGGCATTTCACGCAGCCTTTCCTCTGCTAGTATGCCACTACTAGCATAGTGGCATACCTCTGAACTTTTTCTAGCTTCGTCTTGTGCTTGACAAGGTACGGGCTCCATGCTGGGGCCGCATACTCCAGGATTGGTCTTACATATGTGGTATACAAGGTTCTGAATGATTCCTTACACAGGTTCCTGAAGGCTGTTCTGATGTTAGCCAGCCTCGTGTATGCCACAGATGTAATTCTCTCTATGTGGGTTCAGGAGACAGGTTTGGTGTGATATCAACTCTTAGATCTTTTTTTCTGTCTGTTTCATGAAATACTTCATCTCCTATTCGGTATCCTGTGTCTGGCCTCCTGTTTCCACTGCCTAGTTTCATTACCTTGCATTTACTCGGGTTGAACTTTAGTAGCCATTTGTCAGAACATTCATTCATTCTGTCGAGGTCATCTTGTAACCTCCTTCTATCATCCTCTGTTTTAATCCTCCTCATAATTTTTGCATCATCAGCAAACAATGAGAGGAATGATTCTATACCCTCTGGGAGATCATTCACATATATCAGAAACAGTATAGATCCAAGGACTGAACCCTGCAGGACTCCACTGGTGACGTCTCGCCAATCTGAGACCTCACCCCTCACAGTGACTCGTTGTCTTCTGTTGCTTAGGTACTCCCTTATCCAATGGAGTCCAATAGAGTACCTTCCATTTCATTTCTCCCTGCATCTCCAGCTTTTTCGCTAGCCTCTTGTGTGGTACTATGTCAAAGGCTTTCTGGCAAACCAAAAATATGCAGTCTGCCCACCCCTCTCTTTGTTTGCTTGATTTTTGTTGCCTGGTCGTAGAATTCAATTAATCCTGTGAGGCAGGATTTGCTATCCCTGAATCCTGAATGTTGATGCTTTGTTACAAAGTTCTTTCACTCCAGATGTTCCACTAGCTTTTTTCTCACAATCTTCTCCATCAGCTTGCATGGTATGCAAGTTAGAGACACTGGCCTGTAGTTCAGTGCCTCCTGTCTGTCCCCCCTTCTTGTATATTGGGACTATATTAGCCGCCTTCCAAATTCTTGGCAGTTCCCGTTACCAGTGATTTGTTTTACACCAAGGAAAGTGGCAGGCACAGTGCTTCTGCTCCTTCCTTCAATATCCAAGGGGAGATTCCATCTGGGCCTATAGCGTTTGACACATCCAAATCTATCAACAGTTTCTTTACTTTCTTTACTTCCCCACTGGTAATCTCAAACTCTTCTAGTGGGTCCTGGTTGACTATTCCTTCTCTTATTTCTGGAACTTCTCCTTTATCTAATGTGAAGACCTCCTGGAATTTCTTATTCAGTTCCTCGCGCACTTCCTTGTCATTTGTAGTGAATCTATCTGCCTCTATCCTCAATTTCATTACCCATTCTTTTAATGTTGGTTTTTTCCTGATGTGGCAGTGCAGCAATTTAGGCTGAGTCTTTGCCTTGCTTGCGATGTCATATTCATATTGCCTTTCTGTAATATGTAAGAAAGCTCTTACATATTATGTAAGCTCTCTTGTGCATGTGTTATTTATGTTCTCTTGTGCATGTATTATGTAAGTTCTCTTGAATGAGCTAATTATAAATGGAATTATCTGCACAATCTTTTTTATACATATATATTTTGGTACCAAATTTTTAAATATTGTAAGATGAAGCTTTGTTAAACTTAAGACTGTCAAAGTTATGCAGATACCACTAGTGGGAGTAGAGTTATGGAGATACCACTAGTGAAAGTAGAGCTATGAAGATACCACTAGTGGGAGTAAAGCTAAGCATTTACCACTAGTGGTGTACACTTAGTTTTAGGGAACAGACCTATACAAATAACTCTAGTGGAAGAAAAGCGAGAGATACCACATGTCTCACACTTGTCAGACATGTAAATATGATTAATTTTGTGTGACTTTTCTGGAGGAACCCCTTGCTGGCTCCCCAAATCTGTTGCTGAGCTTGCTCTAATCTACTAGATAACATCAGTCAAAGGAGTTCTGTTTGGCCTACTGGGGACCAGAGCTAGAACCTGGCCCCCTCACAGAGGCACAGAGAGCAGGTGACATTCTGCCACCCAATGAGGAAAGCATCTAGAATGTCATTGAAGTATTACAAACAACTGCAAGATTCAAAGGAACGAATGTCATTGAAGTATTACAAACAACTGCAAGATTCAAAGGAACGAATGTCATTGAAGTATTACAAACAACTGCAAGATTCAAAGGAACCAAAGCCCCAAACACCACCAAACAACTCCCCAAACAATTCCAATGAAATGATCGAATTACTTGAAACTAGCTTGAACCCTGGGTACCAACAAAACTGCCACCAGGAGCTCCGGTCCTCCACCAACTCTCTCAAGCTCCTGTGTCACCAACCAATTGTGGGAAGTCCCCGTGCTTCTATGCTAAGTGCCAGCCATTCTTGTATTTTGTCCTGTGGGGTACCTTTGCTTGTGAATTGTTCCCTTTTGGTGGAGTTCCTTGGTGACTCCCTGAAGCTATCTCACGTAGATTGCTACTGTCTATTAGGTCGTATTAGTTACAGGAGTTTTGTTTGGCATATTGGGGGACCAGAGCCAGAACTTGGCCTCTCCTCACAGAGGCACAGAGAGCAGGTAACACTGCCACCCCACCAGGAAAGCATCCAAAAAGGCAACAAAGACAACTGCAAAAGACATAGCAACTGGAGCCTTGAAAACTGCCAATCAATTCACAAGAAATGATCGAAGCTAGCTTGAACCCTTATTACCAACAAACTGCCACTAGGGGACAGGAAGCTCTGGCCCTCTGCCAACTCTTCCCAAAGTCAGTTCCATCATTGATGTTGTATTCTTAACACCACCGTAGTGTTCCTGCATCGCCATATGTAGTGGTGGATCCCCATGCCTCTAAGATAAATGTGTGCTATCCTTGGGCATCATCCTGTTAGTCCAATTTCTTGTGTTGTTGTTCCACTCTGTGGGAAGCCCTGTCCGCTTCCTGAAGCTATCTTACACTGATCAGTGCCATACTACTAAGTGCTGCAGAGCTGCAGTGCAGCTGCAGAGTTCTATTTGCCTACTGCAGACCACGAGCCAGAACCTGGTTCCCTCAGAGAGGTGCAGGGAGCGATGGCCAATGATCACTCTACATTTAAAGGTTATCATCTCTGCCATCACCTAGGGAAAGCACCCAGAAAGATAGGCAAATCAAAACAGACCACTGCATGGTTAAAAACGAGATTGCGGTCCCAAAATTGAAAACAAATAGCCAAAAGCAGACGATGAGTCACAATAACGTGGTTGATGATATGATTGCCAACCCCACACCAGAAGATGAGGAGACAAAGACATTTTGGTCTATCCTGGACCATTATCAAATTGATTGTGATGGGAGTGAGGGAGGCATGGGCATTAAGGCAAAAGAGAGGTGAGGAACAGATAAGAGTTGTGGTTATTGGCTTCCCGTTCCTAAAGGAAGGGCAAGGCGAAAGGTAAGAACAAGAAGATAGGTATGGATGAGATGGGTGCAATAATGGGATGTAAGATGGATGTAATAATGGTAATGTAAGAATAAGAAGAGAAAGAAAAAGAAAAGAAAGGAAAAAAAAAGGGGCAGGCTTATGTCAGGTCACATTTGTTAGAAAGGTTAGAGCATTTCAGTATGTACTGTGAAAGGGAAGAGTCAACAGCAACAAAGCCAGGACTAAGTTTTTAGTTGGGTATGTTGTGTATCGGAGCCGATTCAACAAGATTGCATCTGTGTAGAGTAGAGGCAGGAAAGATTATTTTAGAGGAAAACCAATCAATAGGATGATTAGAATCCCTAACGTGATAAAAGAGAGCATTGTTTGTGTCTACAGACTTAACAACACTTTTCTGTGGGGAGCCCCATTGACTCCCTAAAGCTAACCTGATTGATATGGCTATATTAGCTTGGGGTCATCAGTCACAGGGGTCATTATGCCTACCTAGGGAGCCGGTGGCTGAGCGGACAGAACACTGTACACATGATCCTGTGGTCCCGGGTTCGATCCCGGGCACCGGCGAGCAACAATGGGCAGAGTTTCTTTCACCCTGATGCCCCTGTTACCTAGCAGTAAATAGGTACCTGGGAGTCAGCTGTTACGGGCTGCTTCCTGGGGGTGGAGGCCTGGTTGAGGACCGGGTCGCGGGGACACTTAAGCCCCGAAATTATCTCAAGATCTCAAGATAACTGGGGACTACGAGTCCCCAGTAGGCATAAGTCCTACCTGGCCCCCCTCAGAGACCTACCTGGCCCCCTCAGAGAGATGCCGGAAGCAATGGCCTATGAGCACTTTACATATAAAATACAGTGGTACCTCAGCTTAAAAATTTAATCCGTTCCCAGAGACGGCTCGTAACCCAAAAATTCGTAAACCAAAGCGAATTTCCCCATAAGAAATAATGGAAAATGAATTAATCCATTCCAGACTCCCCAAAAAATTAACTTCAAAGTAAATTTTATACCTAATTCACCCAAATC